GCATAGCATAAGTGTGGCACAAGGCCGAAAGTATGGAGCACCCAGTAAGGATCAAACTCACTATTCTGTTGTAATTGATTGTGCAAGACAAGCTTGCTACCTATTACACATGACCTCATACTTGCATACAAAAAACTATGTATTTTGTGACACATTTAGCACCTGACCAGGTAAACAGGTTTTATGGACAGGTGTATAGATTTAATACACTACAGCTTGTATAACGGGCCCTTTGATATGAATTGAAAGTGCTATGTGTTCCCTTACCCAATGAAACTTTTTTTTTAGATGAATATAATAAAAATAAGTGGATAAGAACTGTTTTTCTTTTTGCGATTTTTATTGCCACTCTACTTTTTAGCATCGAATTGAGCATATTTTTTTTTTTTTTTTTTATATAGTGGTTATACCCCTTTTAATAGATTTATCACAAATTACACATAGAGATAGATAGCTATGGACATAACATCAACACTGCATAGTGACTGTCAATGTATGAAGAGTATAATGTCCACTAATGAAAAGTATGTCTACTAATGAAGAGTATAATGTCTATTATAACCAACTTAAAAAAAAAAAAACATGCTTTGTAAAATTTGATAATTCAGATTTGATTCATAGAATTAACTTACCTTTCTTTGTTCATATGGATTTCACAGTATGACATTATTTTTGACAATGTTTTAGAATTTCAAGTGGTGTTGAGATGACACGCCTGTAACGGTGAGGTTTTCTTTGTTGTTGTTCTTGTTGGGCGGGGCAGGGGTGTCCTTCTAAAAATGTTTTTTTCTTTGTTTGATTATTCTTATTTTTCTTTTAAGTCCATTCTCCTTAAGTTCATTCTTTCAGCATTTTAGCATTTCAAAATATTTTCAAGTTTTTCCCGCAACAGAACTTCCGAATTTCCTCCGTAAACATTTCCATCATTTTATTTACCGAAAGATAAAATTACGAAAAGTTTTCGAATAAAAAATTGGTAAAAAATAAATTCTAAAAGGTGTTTATCCAGACCAATCTTATGAATATCAAAATGAGTGTGATTCCTTCCAAAATGGTTCAGTTATATCACTCTTGCACAATGGAGAGCTGTCTAAAAGGTCAACCAATCAGTTCTTCTGCAAACCATGTGTCACCATGTTAAATGTGATTTGATGTCAAATGGTGCAGTAAATTTATTGACTCTAAAGCCTGGCAGCTGTTTGCTATTGATCTGAATAAAATTATATTAGACATGATCATGCAGACATTGAAACATGAATAGTAACCAACTGAAATTTTTACTGACCATAGTGTTTCTAGTAATGTTTTAGTCAACTGACTTTACGAAACAAGTACAGTAACTGTACACATTTCTTTGGGAGGAAAAAGAAAAACAGCAGACATGGCTGATGCAGAATCATTTGCCCAAAATTAAAAACATTTTCTTTTTTGTTTGTGGATCCAAGACTTGAATTCAGAGAGAAAATCAAAAGACAAAAATTGCCTAAAATAACAGGAAAGAGCTCTTTAGCTATGGCTCTCAATAACAATATATTTTATGTACAAGGCCAACACTTAAGTATTAAAGTACAAGGCTGATAAGAATACAAAAGATAAGAATTCTTAAATCTTATATTGTTTGTAGAAAGAATTTTCTTGTTCATATCACTTGGAAGCTAGTATTTCACACAAAAGGTTTGACTCATTTTGAAATTAGCCAAATTAACAAAATTCATTAAGGAATAATTCTAATGACAAGTAGTATGTTTTCATGTTTAAAACTTCCTGAATCTCAACGTTCTCTTTGAATAAACGAGATAAAAGTTTGGAAAAATAAAAAAAATAAAAATTCCTGAAATTTTAAAAGTGTATTTTTAGAAATTATAAGACATTTAAATATAAAAAAATATAAAAACCTGCATTTAAAAATATCTTTTTTTTATATAAAATTAAAAGTTTTTACAAAAACAAAATTTTAACTTAATTTTTAATAATACCAGATTTGAAAATTAAAACCAAACAACAAAAAAATTTTTTCTAAAGAGAAAAAAAAAATTTTTTTTAATAAATATTTATTTAGCTGAAATTTAACATACTGTTTTTCTTTAAGTGTCCAAATGACTACAGGCCAAAATCTTTTAAAAGGTCTTGATCTGAGATTTTCAGCTGACCATTCCAAGAAATCTTTTTATGGCATCACTTCCTTTCATTTCATATATAAGTTTTCAGTGTGACTATTCTTCTTTAAAGACCAACATGTATCAGAATGTTGATTTTGAGAAAAAAGGTCAGGCTAAGAATTTTTCAGCATCCCCTCTTGTTTATCTTGGTTAATGCAAAAAATAATTTTAAGTAAAAAAAAAAAAAAAAAAATAATAAAGTGTAAAGGCAACAAAAGTTATGATATTAAACATCAAATCAACAGTGATTGCTAAAAATTCTTCATTGAGAGTTTTAGTTGTCGATTTATAAATAAGTCATTGGCTTAACAACAGATGCTAGAAATATGATACCTGTAGGAAGAAAAGAAAGGTAAAAAGAAGAAAAAAGATAAAATGAAAAAAAGAAAAGAAAGAAGATAAAAGGGAAAGGGAAAAAAAAAAAAAAAAAATGAAAAAGAAAAAGCACCCCACCAAATCAATTCAATCAAGCATCACCAACAGAGCAAATAAAATCTGGTTGCCCAATAGTAGAAAAGCCTATCAAAAAAGAGGGGCACTGAGAAACTAAGAAGAAGAAAAAAAATGGTTTCAAAACCCAAAGACCACTTTTGTGAAATCCTCAAGAAATACAAAGTCAGCGGCAATGTTTTTATGACAATAAAAAAAAAATCCACTCCGGGAGAGTGAATCAAGGAGAAAAGAACCTTTTGTGACATAATAGACATCTCCGGATATCTGCATCCCAACAGGGGGGGGGGGTTAAATTGTTTGCAACAAAAGCTCATATTTGTAATATCAAGACTATTTGGAACCATATAAGAAACCCTCAACAGGAATATAATAAAGTCGTCGCCATATCACACGGTGAAGGAATGTTTAACAAGGGACATCCAATTTATGGCGCAAAAAAAAAAAAAAAAAAAAAAAAGTATCTAAAGATTCTACCTGATTATAAGAAAGAAAGAGAAGTAATGGCTGTCTTAGTGTAAAGAACGATCGCTTTACTTAAATCCTTGAATGTTGAGACAAGTACAGCACAAACATTCAAGCACAGAACAGGATCAAAAAACAACTTTCATATTTTTTTTTTTATTTTATTTTTAACGTTACAAAAAATCCTAATTTCCTTTACCCAAGATAACTTAAGCACCATTAATATTCAAGACTCACGATTTCTAAAAAAATTTGGCACCTTTTGCAATTTAGCCAAATAAAACGAATTTCATTTTCTAAAGTGTGTCACTAATCTTTTTCCAACAAAAACAAATTAAAAATTGCTTGATTAACGACCGATTTAACAAATAACATTTTAAGCATTGTTTGTTTTTAGAGTAGACAATTTAATGACTAAATGTCAACAAAGTTGACCTGTTGAGGTCATAGATTTTTACCTGACATGGGCACAAATTGCTAATTTACTTTTTTGTCTCTATGTGCAGTAAATCTGCAGAAATATTTTGCTGGAGTTTCTGAAAATAGCCAATGTTACATGTTTTTCTTTTCTTTATCTGTGCAAAGATCAGAAGAGGAGACGAAATAATTTCTGAACAAACAGACATACTGAACCACGAAGCAACTTTTGCCGCAGAGGTGATCAATAGGGTTATTAATAAATCACATATCTCGCCTGGTAATAATAATGCAAGAAAAACACTCAAAATGGTAGACATGTACCATAACAACTCAAAAGAATGGTATTTAGTCTGGTACAAGGTCACCGAGAATCAAGCTCACTACAGTAAAATCAGTCACTCAGTTGCCACTGATTCATAGTGAGGCAATGATGGTAGTTTAGCTTAGTTTGGTACATAGCCATAAATGTTGATCACCCAGTGAGAATCAAACTCACTACAGTAGTAAGAGTGAGACACAGTATACTCACTATTAATCTGAAGTGAGGCAGGATATATTAATGATTTTTTCTCTCTTTGAACAAAAGTTGGACTGCCAACGATAAATTATAGGAGGCAAGAATACAAACCATGTTATTTTATCATCCATACATTTACTCAACTTGACACTGCAATCAAATTTACACCACGCTCTACCTTGAGTGTCTCTCTGGCTTTATATTGAGTGAACAATAGTATAAAAAAAAATTTCCCTGGATGCAGCAAATTCATAAAACCTTTTCTCATAACGAAAATTATATATTTCCCTTGAACAGAAAATTTGGTTTGATTCGACTTAAAAAGGAGGTCCTTTGATCAGTGGTCATTTATTCATGAATGTACAGCTTTAATTGGCCAGATTTTTTCCCCAACTCTGTCAGGGTCAGAGAATTCACCAGTCAAAACACTGAATATAGAAATAACAAAAGGTAAAAAATATCTCACTTGCATATTAGCATCTGTGACACAGGAATCGATTTTGTTTTCTTTACAGACGAGTGCTTTTGAAATGCCTGAGAAGATTCTAACCAGAAATCACAAACTCTGTATTCATATCAGAATATTAAAAAAAAAATAAACAAAAGATTTTTACAGACATCCATACACACAAAATTCCAAGAAGGTTTATCATTGCATGAAAGACAATTTGCAGGATTTTTGGCTCAGAATCTTGCTCTGAATTATATTTGTTTACACAATGAATCCAACACACACACACACACATTCATACACAAGCACATCCCCAGTTTCAAGAAGTAAATATTTTAATACAATCAGATTTTAAAAAAGAAAAGTTTAAAGAAAGAAAAAAAGAAAAGAGAGACAAATATTTGTGATTTCTTGTTGTGGTTGGCAAGAGATGATTTGCATCCAAAAATCCATTTCATCCCCTGAAGAGTAGTTCGGCATAAGGCAGGCAGGTGATTGGTAGTGGCAGCTGGGAGGATGGTGACAGTTCAACAAATGGTCAGTTGTTGTACCAATCCAGGAAAAGCAAAGCAAATGTACACACAACTATAAAGAATAAAATCCAAACACGGAAACCGGCATTATTTTTCATTGCCTGAAAAAAAAAAAAAAATTAAAAAATTAAAAAAATAAATAAATAAAAAGAAGATTAAATAAGGCAAAATTTTAAAAACAGAAAACAAACAATAATAGAACAACTATCTTTTTCTCACACAATTAAAAGTGATTCAGTCGAACTTGCATCTTGATTGATCAGACACAAAAAGACTGTTTAATCATCTGCAATTTTAAAGATGCAAATTGTCCCTCTGTTCTTTTGCTGAGAAAACTGAATTGTCTCTATTCTACTAACTGAACTTTAAATGACTTGGATACTTATTCTAAATCCAGAAACAAGCTGCACTGATTATTATTACTATCCTTGTCTTGCTTGTTTTTATCCCACTCTTGATATGTTGAATGTTGCCCAGTCATTTATTTAGTTGCCATCTTTTTTTGTCAAGTGTGTCCTCTTTCAAACGTCACCAATGTTACTTTTCTCCATTGTATTCTTCTACTGCTTAATTGACTGATTGAAGTCAGGACTAACACTTTTATCCATTAGGACATTTCCCTTATGACTCAATGGAATATAAGAATAATTGATCCAAAGAGTTTTTTTTTTTCAATCAGGACTCTTCATTCAGTGTTTATGTCTACTTGTCTTGCTAATTAACTCTTTTAAACATAGCATGTATACTGATGCTTTTGATTCTCTTACTTCTCTTATGTTGTTCCTTGTTTATTATTTTGACATTGTTCCATAAGAACTGGTGTGCACCTTTCTCTTCCCATACATGTTCTGCCAATCATGATTTCATCATTTTTCCATAGAAAATTGATTTTCATTGTTCTTCAAGTCTTATTTTTATGAGATTTAGGCTCAACATTTCCTTGCTTATGGCCATATCATGTTGAAACACTGGTTCTCATACAATTACAGAAGTTGAGCAACATTGAGCCTGGTCAGTACCTAGATGGGTGACTGCTTCAGAATGCTGGGCACTGTAAGCTGGTAAAATGGGTAGTGAGTCTGATTGTTAATTGGAAAGCTGAGTTCCAATGATTGTTGGGGGGGGGCATTAAATTCACTTATGTGCAAATATCATTGGAAAAGGTATGCATCCATCCCTCCCGCCAGCTATAGGTTAATTAGAAGGACTTGTGTCAGTAAATCATTATCTTCAAATCTGCAAAAAGTTGATAAGCCATAAAAAAAAAAACAAATCAATTAATTAAAACTAACATTTCCTGAAAGTTACTGGATATGGGAAAGCCTAAGGGACTCTGACTGAAATGCTGTGATAAAAACAATCAAGATGAGGATATCACTTCAAAATACAAATTGCATAATAATAATCCTTAATTTAATCCAGAAAGGTAAAAAAAAAAGATTTGCCAGGTGTGCTTTTTTTTTTTTTTAGACTTTTGAACAAATAATACAAATAATCTAAGCAAATAAATCATTTTTAATTAACTTAAAGAGAATTTGAAATTTTTAAAAAGTAAAGGAAAATATATACTTGAAGAAGGTTGGAGAGCCCACCAGCCAAAAATGCAGCAATATGAGGTCTAAATAATGACAAAGCTGTGGTGTTACTTTTTTTATGCACAAACTGCATTTTGATGCAAATGAATTACAATCAGGTTAGAAACTTACCTCCCGAATTTGTTCATTGCCAGAAATGATATTTTCAGATGTACCAGCAACAACATGACTAATTTGGTCAATTTCTTTTTCCTGTGTTAAATAGAAAATAAATAAATATATAAAAAGCCAAGAATCCTGCTCATCAGTTTTATTTATTGCTATTATATTGAAATGCAACAATGCCCAGAAAACTTCAAATAAATAAATAAGAAGCCAAGATACCTGCTTATCATACACCCCTTCACAGTCAACAAAAAGATGAACTTCACATTCCCTTTGAAAATTTGCTTTGTTTTTTATTTCAAACTTTGCCAATTTTAATTCCTCCTGATTTTGTTCTTTGAAGAAAAATACTTGAAGGCATCATTGATTCAGATTCCAATTCAGATTTCAGTTTTTTCTTATAAATAATGAACTTTAACTTTGCTACCTTAAATCAGGCATGGCCAACCCTTTCCCAAGTTGTGGGCCACATGGCTCATCACAAAGCAAGATGCACTACTAAACAGGTTCGAAGTAATTCTTTGCATTTAGGTACCTCAACTATTTTCACTACAGAAGACCATATGCATTAACCTTAGAAATAGGGGAAAAGTTTTTGTTTTTTTTTTGAGAAAAGATTTTTCTATAATTATAAAATTGAAGTCTTGGTATAATATTATCACTGATGACAATGTGATTATCTCATGTCACTGTGTGGGATTTATTTATAATTTATTCATTTGAAAATTTTAAAAAAGTATATTTCTTCTGCAGATAAAAAATTATTATGAATGTTTTATTTCAAAAGCAAAAGATGTTTACATGTATGATCTTCCATACTGAAAATTGGCAATGCTTTAAAATGATGAAAGTGTTATTTTCACCGAAATTTTACAAAAGTCAAAAACCATTGTACTTAATCATTGTTTATGTCTGTGATTATGTATGGAAGAGTGTGTGAATGAACAAGTGAGAATGAAACAAAATTAAATTTTAAGAAAAGTTATTTTCCTTTAGAAATTAAGCATTCCATTCAGAAAGTCTAAACGGGCAGCATGCAGGCCACCGTTTTGCCCATGAAGATTTGCCCTGACTTAATTTTAGCAAAGGAAGAGCAAAATTGTATTCGTTAAGAAACCTTAAAGTATAACATTTAAACTCTGAGACGAATTTGAATGATGAAAATATTCCAGGCTAGACATTTATAAACTGCACTATAGTCTTTCATAATCTTTTTCATCAGAATTTTTCATGTTTTTCAAAAATGCAAAAAAAAAAAAAAAAAAAAGCTGAATTCTTCAAATAAAAAAACAGTCATTTGAACAGAGAAAATTAGATTTGATTTCAGGAGAATATTTTGCAATTTTTAAGGACTTCATATTTTTTGTTTTACAAAGTCTAATCACACACCGTGCTTATTAATCACCACAAAATTTTACTTACCTGGTCCCACACCTTCTCAGCAAAAATCTCCTGTAGCCGTGAAACCTCAACAACCTTGCCTTCAATTTCCCTGAAAATAACAGAAAATTAAATTTTTCAACAATTAAAATTATGACCAAAACTTTACTCATGAAAATTTTTAACCTTTTTTTTTTTTTTTAAGTCATGTATGTTCAAAATTTCTATAAAGTTGTTTGCCCTGAAATAAACTAACGTTTCACACTTTTCATAGAAAGTAACTGAAAGATGAGCAATTTGTTGATTGATTTTTTTTTTAACAACCTATTGTGGATTATTTAAAACCCAAACATATTTTGATTTGTAAGAATAATTCTTTCTTTTTTCCTTTGCAAACTGAATACTGCACAAATAATTTTTGGAGAATAATAAAGATTCTTCCAGATACAATTCCTACTAGTTAACCCATATATTGGGGGGGAGGAGAGGGATTCATACATTTCCAAAGGGAATTTGCATATAAGTGAATGTAGCAAACCTGACTGGCATTTGAACTCTACTCTCTCATTCCAAGCCACTATCCACTACACGATCTGTCAATGTTGGGGAAAAGAAAAGTTTGCAAAATGTATTAAAACACATTTTGCATGTTGCATTATTATTATGATTATTATTATTGCAGATTTTATTGACTGACCACTTAGTCCAGCATAGGCAAGGTAGATTATGCTGTAATAATTTACTGAATGGGGAGAAGGTTAGCCTGCTTTGAAAATAAACGTTAAAACTTGTGGCTTATTTTTTTCATCACAAAGCACCATTGTTAAAGAGAAAGACGTTACCGACCACATTCCAAATCTATTCTCACTCATTTCCCATAAATGTTTGTACAATATCTAAATAAAGAAAAAAAAAATTATAAAATTAAATTAAATTTTTCTTTTTATGGAATATTATATTCACCACTTAGACATAAATAGTTTCTATAAAGGAAAAAGTAAAAAATAAAAAAAAAACTGGACTGCTGAAAAATGATTTCAATCAATTAAGTGAGAAAATGGATAACTGACTAAGAGATAAAAGAAAAAAATCTTTTCGTTTTCATATTGAACTTTAGTAGAATTTCAGAAAATGGATTACCAAAACAGTTTTAGTTCTATCCTGATGTCTGAAACAAAGTCCAAAGAACCAGGATTGTTTTACTACCTACCGACAGGATGTGTGGAAGGATCTGCATCACCTCTATAGAATACTGCCTCCTCCTAAGATGACTATAAGAATTTGAGATTGTTGTTTTCATTTGTAATTGTATTCAATCTTTACTTAGCCAAGACTACCTGTCACTTTTCCACACTTTTTCATTTTCAAGAGAATTTAAGAGAATCCAATTTTTTTCATTCATTATATCATTAAAACTGAAACAAACTGACTGCTAATTATCGAATCACTTTCGATAAAAAAGACGAGAGATTAACAATTTGTACTGAAACAACTTTCGTTTATGTTTATTGCATTCAAAAGAATTGGCAAGGGAAGAAAGAAAAGACAAAAAGACTTACTTCACTTCAGACATCAAACTATTCATCTCCTCCACTAAAGCCTGATTCTCTTGTTCAAACTGAAAACGTAACATACATGTGTTTATTATTAATGCTTTACTTCCATGTGTGTGTTGGGGGAGGACGTACATTTGGGTGACATGTCCTGTCTTGCATATTTTTATTCGATTGGAGATAATAATAATAAAGATAATTATGAATACAAATTAGATTTTTCACATGATTAGTCACTAAACCTTCAAGAGGTTTATTAAACCAGCTTTAGTTTTAAAGTCTTATAAGAAGACAATAATAATAATAATAATAATAATAATAATGTCAATGAGCCAAAAGGTAAATAAGGAGATGGGGTGAGGTGAGATGCGATACTTTAATGCAGAAACAAGAAAGAATGAAGGAAGTGGCATGACCATTTGTGCTTCTTCAGTAGAGAGTTCATCATCTTCATCGGTAGAGGATGTGGCTTCCCAACTCTGTGATTTTGAAGCTTTCTTAACCGTATCCGTGCTCTTGATGTTTGTTGACACTTTTGCTATGTCCCTCTCAGATTCAGATTCTCCTTCTACAACTTTGGTAGTAGTGGAAATCTTCTGACCTGTTAAAAAACAACAAATATATATCATTTCACCCAAAGCAAGGCAAGAAAGCAACTAAGATGCAAGGGGGGGGTGACTGAGTGTGAAAGAATAATAAAAATAAAAACATTAAGGGTCAGGAACAATGAAAGAATAGAACTCAAGAACGTAAGTAACGATTGCATTTGAATTTTTGGAGATCAAAGTAGACTAGAAAGCAAAAATCCCGAAGAGAGTTCCACAAACAAGAAGTGCGAGAAAAGAAAGTGTCACCATAGAACGTTGGGTTACATCTAGCCATATCAACTGTAAAGTGATGAGACCTTGCTGCCAATCTAGTACAGCAATTAAATTCCTAAAGTCTGGGTACTATAGAGGAAACTTCAATATAACAATTACCATGAAAGTATTCATATGAAATGCAAAGAGAACCTACATTACGTCATTGGGAAAGTAACTGAAGCCAAGATTCCAGGTCAGTAACATTGCAGATTCTTCTTTGGGTTTTATGAAGAATCTCTAAATATATAGCAGGAGCACCAGGCCAGATGTGACAGCAATATTCAATGCATGGATGAATGGTATACTTATAAATGTGTAAAATAGATTCAGACAAGAAAAATTGTCTAGGACAATACAATGAACCAAGGATCCTAGCAGCAGGCCTAGCAATTTATTCAATCTTTCCACTTCATGAAAGCAGAAAATGTCAGCCAAGAATGAGTCACTCTCCTGAAGGTTAGCATAAGCCATGCTGATGAAAAACAGGAAAAGTGCTCTTCGATGATTAATACGGAATCATTCTGTTTTAAAAATAACATCATGTGGTCAAATTATATATGGGAACTAAAAATGAAAGAGAAAACACTATTAGCAGAAATGGTATATAATAAGAATGATAAAGAGAAACAGAGGCAGAAGTTGCAATCTATGGATAGAAGAGAAACTAAAAATTATAAAATTTAAGATTGGGAATTGTGTCACAAACAAAAGGATTGAAATTATTTGGAACTGTAGGCATGCTGATGTTTTCCTTTTGAAAAACATGAAAAGAACAATAGATTTCAGGAGTCTTCAAAATAAACAAGCATCCATTTTGAAAAAATTGCCAAGCAAGAAACAGGCTGTTAATGTGTAACTAAATAAAATTATTTTATATATACGGGCTGGTTGCTGATTTCGGAGTATGCCTGACTGCTAGGGCATCCTTTCTGTTGCAGATGTCAGCTCAGGCACATCTGCATTTTGTTCAACACCCAAAGAGCCTACCTGTGGTTTATACTGCAACTATGCTGAGTGGACCATAGAGGGAGTGATCACATCATTTGCCATGATTAAGTTTGAAGAACCTCAGTAACTTGTGACTTTGTACTAACACAAGCATTGATAAACAGTTCTGTCTACCCAATTTCATTCACAAGGCTTAGATCAATCCATGGGATGGTTTTCAAGCACTTTCCAAAGTTTCAGCATGCTGGTATCACCTTCCTCAGGTGGATAACACTAAGAAGTCACCTTCCTGACAAATTGACCATGATGAGATTTGAACCCAGGTCTCATGATTAGAAAATGAACATTCTAACCACTCAGCTATTACAATATATAGAGGTGTTGAGTATAGCATCAATCAACTGTGACAAATTTTATATTTGTATTAATCCTATATATATATATATATATATATATATACACTCAACTCTCCTGTCAAATTCGAAGTATGAGGGTCAAGCAGATCAGTTCCTAGGAAACCAACGGCCCGACAACAGCACATGAGATTTGATTATAGTTGTGAATGTTTTGTGCAGGGCCATCCACACTTTTTGATATATATATATATATATATATATATATATATATATATATATATATATATATATACACACACACACAGGGTGTAATGGGTAAATTGTTGCCACTTTTAATTTTGTTGTTTGTTTTTGGTTTTGTCAACTGCATAGTAGGGTCAGTTGGGCATTGTCTGTGAGAAAAAGAGCACCATGACGCAATTCACTGTGCCAGAAATTTGGAAATGGCCAGAAGTTCTAATACGAACATTTCAGAGTGTTTGGGTTTCAATCTGAGGGCAGTGCAGCGGATTCAAAAAGAGTTGAATGAGTTTAATGGTGATTACAAAGGTACGGCAGCTTGGACAACTCACTCTGATCATTCTGATAAGAAAAAAAATCCTGAATTTGTTGGTGAGGGCCTCAGACTCAACATGGAAGCCTACATCAAGTGCCATGAGGCAGCAGTGCTGTCCTGGGTCAAGAGGGTGACTGCTGGAAGACCCTATGTCTGGCAACAGAACGCTGCATGATGCCACACAAGCAGGAGAACCCAGTCATGGCTGTCAGACAATATCTGCGACCACATCACCCCTTACATCTGATCACCTAACTCCCCAGATTGCATCTCATCAACTCAGCACAATTCACATTGTGAAAATAAAAAGAAGTACAAACTGAATTCTAAAACCCCTTCAGTATTAATCCATATAAAAACAACATTAAATAATATTGCAGCCAAAACATTGTATTAATGAAAAATAACAAAGATAAAGACAATAGTCAAAAAACAAAAGAAGATGAATGGATGAAAAATCAATAACGATTGATTGATGGATTGGCTTCATGGTTTTGTTCTTTTGTATGTCTCTGGACTTAAAACTTTTATGAAATGTTTTGTATATAGATTTCAGAATCTGCCATTGTTTTAGCAAAGAAATTCATTCTTCATCAATGTAAATTTTTTTTTTTATGGTTTGCTGTTTTTTTTTTTGTAGATTTGCAAAACCCAAAAAACATTACCAACATTCAAGAGGTATCAGAATTACTTTCAAGATGCAAACATTGCTCTCATCATTTCAATCGAGCACTATTGAGAAAAAAGTAATTCCAAAACAGTAGCAGTATTAAAGCACCACTCTTCATTAATGAATTGAGCACTCTGGCTGTTGGCATTTGTATACATTCATATAATACATTAAAATTTCCCTTTCTCAGCCGTGCACTGATAGCTTAGGGATAGGATCTCTGACTGATGCCAAATTGGTTGGGTTCCAATCTGGCTTCAAGCAATCAGATGTCTAGCCACACTGATGAGCTGTGATACAGCGAAACAGGCTTGTATGTGGATTATATATATATATAGCACAGTGGAGTAATGGATAGCGGCTTGGATTGAGGAATCGCAGAGCCAAGTTCGAATTCCAGTCGAATCCATTACATTCACTTACGTGCTAATACCCTTGGGAAAGGTATGAATCCTCTTCCTCTCCCTCCAGCTATAGGTAAAATAGCAGGACAGACTGGGTTCTATAGCCTTGGATGGCAACTGGTCTAGGAGAAGGACAACTCTGAATTCAAAACCTGCGGAGGGTCGTTTGGGAACCTTGTGGCATTCGGTGCACCAGGTCTCTGTATTCGTCCCTTCAAAAAGTGTGGATGGTCCTGCACGAGGCCTTCACCATTATAATCAAATCTCATGTGCCGGTGTCGGGTTGTCGGTTCCTGGAAACTGATCTGCTTGACCTTCATACGTTGAATCTCGACGGGAGAGTTAATTATTATATATATATATATATATATATATATATATATATATATGTGTGTGTGTGTAATAATGATCTATAAATTTTTATATATCAAGAAGAGTTTTGAAAGAAATGATATAGTACAAACTGGAAAAACCTTTTGTGGCATGTTCCATCCATTAGGACTTCATCACTCTGGGTTTGTTTACATTGTTGTGAGTACATATGTACACGAACGAGAGATACAGGGAGATATTTAAACATATCTGTAGAAATCACTGTGTGTGTACGTATCTTCTTTACAAATCTGTACAGCATTCTTTGAAACAAAAATTCATTAAAGATTTGACATTAATATTGATATGAACATTCAGAGTCAATAGTGACAGATCTCAACTAAAAAAGGAAAAAAGGCTACTAGAAAGCAAAATCCCTTTTTGAAAGGGGCCAAGGCTACTTACTTAATGGATCGTCTGTTGCATTCTTCTTTATGCTGCCTCGAAACCTCAGCTCTGGTTCAAGTCGAGATCTGAAAATTCAAAAAGCAATTGGGTTAACAGTTGGCATGATCAGGTAAGGAGCAGGTAAACTATCACTTTTCTCACAGTTCCAAAAACTAAGAATCAAATTGAATATGAATCAAGCCAATATGGCTAATTGCAGGCACATCTCATCAGATTATGTGGCTATGTCTTTGGTGACACAGTGGCTGGTTCTGTTGCTTCTCACATAAGAAACTGGGTTCAGTATTACATTGGAGTAATAAAAATCCATTTTAGACTTATTTTCCATGGCTCTGTATAAACAACAGATTACAATATAATTGGCTAGTGACAATTTTTCACCAGTCAATATCATACAGTAAGAATAAAAATAATGGTCCCCACGTTGGCTTTGCTGCCCATTACTCATAACATTGAAATCAACAACAAAAAAAAAAACTTTTTTATCCAAAGATTTTATCTTCTTTAAAGTGAAATGGTAATTCTTTTAAAAATTTGGCCTTGGATTTTCAATGGTAATCATTGTCATTTGAATTTAAACTCGGTGCCATTCCCGGTCACACCAACCAAATTTGCTTCAAAGACAAACTTTACAACGGATGAGGGTTAAGAGACTATTATCTTCTTTATTGTCATATTTACTATGTTGTATGCTCCGGCCTTCTTCAGGAGATATACATTGGAATTTTGAACCAAACCCTTTATTTAGTCCCCTGGGGTAGATTATTCTAGTTCCACATGCCATGCCTTTTCTGGATATCTCCGTTTCAGTTAATTCCCTTTAGTAACTCAACTCTCCAAGTTTTTGTACACCTCTACTGTGGCCAGGTATTGAACTCACAACTCTTTGGGTCAAGTCACTGGATTACTTCAACCACTAGGCCATGTGTCCTTGGGGTGAATGAATGTTTTTTACCAGAGCTCATATTACAATTTTTTTATTGTTGTTTATCTCTGTATTACTGCTTCCCATATTGTATTCATTTCTATGCTTGGCCAACTTAGGAGATTTTTGTAGCCTAGCATATGCGCTGATTCCTTAAGTTTTCATATTTTCCAGTGATACTCTCTATTATTTCAACTTTATCCCACAGGGGGCGGTGATCTCCCTTTTCCCTTCATATATGGTCAGCCATACCTGATTTAACTATTTCCCCTCATGTTAATGCTTTATGGTGTTACTGAAGTACTAAAGGGTAATAACTGAAACTGAGATATCCAAAAAAGGCATGGCATGTGGAACTAGAACAATCTATCTCAGTGGGCTAAATAAAAGGTTTGGTTCAAAATTCCAACATACATCACCTGAAAACCAGAGCATACGACGACTGAAATGTTGTGAATATGATGATAAAGATGAGGACAACAGTTCGAACAATGCAAATAATGTAAATAATTACAATACCTCATCTCAGAAATATAGACAAAAAATAATTTGTAGTCACTTAATGAGAATGAAAATCTCAAGGTCTTCCCTACTTTTCAACATCAAAATTAAGTTTGATTTTGTATGAATGGTATTTTAGTAATCAGATGGTCTTGGAACTCTTTTAATGGTTGCAATGCATTTGGACGAACAAAATTAGCACATTCTTAGTCATCAACTGAAATAGTTCAGTTGGAATAATAATAGAATGAAGATTTAAAGATCCCTAGTTCAATCCATGGTTTGGGCACTGGCATAGAACAGGCTGAGAAAAATGTATTGGTTGAATCAGATTGAAAACAACAAAGACAATATGAAATATGGAGTGTGGCAATAAAAACTTGATGAAAGAACTTCCCTATAGAAATGATTGCAAAGCACTTGCCCCTCCCCATTTTATAGGCAGAAGCAAACAAATGCATGCTGGGTTTTTTTCCTAGCCAATAAAATAGGCTGGTTCTTGGTTTCATCTGACTCAGTCCCGATCTGTCTTGTCTTGAAGTCAGAATGCTACATTTGCTTGTCCAAACTTGTTCTAGTGTGTCAACCCTAATTGTTAGTATGTGAACTTTTCGCTATATTATGGTTGCTTTGCTTTATTTCTGTTAATTTGCCTTGCATTCTATTTTTTTCTATTTTTTTGCCATGTTCTTTTATTTTTCTTGTTATTGCAAACCTTTGTCAATTCTTTTTGTTGGACATTTCTGTTACTTATTTTGCATCTGACCATGGCTATTCACTCCACAACTACTTGACTTTTTTGGTTTTAGAAATCTTAAACCCAGTGTATCAAGTGGACTTAGATTTAAATGACTGCGAAAAGAAATAAAAGTAGCAAATATGAAAAAATTGACTTACATGCGTTTCCGATCAACAACACGTTTCACCCGGACTGCTCTCTGTTCACTGTACATCTTGCAGACGGCTGCACATAACAAGGATTATTTTACTTATATTTTATTTATCATATTAATGAAATTTACAAGTGTAAACATGCATATATTGGAATGTAGCAGGTCATTTATAGAGATTTCAAATTCACTTTGCAATTCAAAAGAAATCATCTTAAAATATGTGCTTATGTATCATAAATAACTATAATGGTTATCTTAATTTGGAACAAGAAGATTGTGTTGCACTAATCATGCAGATGAAAAAAAAAGGGCCTGCCTGCTTTAAAAATCAGCATGGATTTTTTTTTTTTTATTTAAACTCAAATTCTAACTACATGTGTTAGTGGAAAACATGCAACTACCTCAACCACCAGACAAAATCAAAATTGTTTAAAAAACAAAAAAAACAAACTATGTTATAGTTTTGTTTGCTTGTTTGTTTTCCTTGTCATATTATAATAAACAGATGTTGCGCTGAAGCCAGTAAACCACACTTGAACCAACAATGTTTACACCAAGATGAGAAATTAAAGAGCAAACATATTAAAGAAGCAATTGTAGGCCAGAGAATCAGTTGTATGAGATTCTGTTTTGAATATATATCCAGCCATTTTGAATATCCTGAGAAATTTTTATGTTGCCTTGATGTAACTTGGCAACTAATCAGAGAGGACCTTACTGCACATGCATGAACACCCTCCTGTGGAGTTACTCAATTAGTAGTGAAACACTATTGAGTGAATTTGTAGATTTTGTAACCATCACATTCAAAATTAGTGGACAACTAGATTAATTTTTTTTATATTTTTTTTGCATTACTGGATTTTCCCACAGATAAAATTGCTGTTGAAATGCCAAAAAAATAGCAGCTGATGGCAATCCATCAATGGATTAAAGTCCTAGTGGCTATTTTTGAGTTATTAGTAAAAGGCTGAATTATTTCCTGAAAGACTTTATACAAATCAAAAGAGATGGAAAGAAAGAAAGATAGAGAAAGAAAGAAAGAAAGAGTGAAAAAAAGAAGGAAAGAAAAGAAAATGTCAATGTTTCCAAATCTGAATCAAACCAATATATACAACTCATACAAAATTAACAGAATTAAGAAACAAATTATTGCAGTTGTTAGTGAACAACATTGGCTCCTACTAAGAGCTCAACACTGTATCCTTGTGCCATACAAGGTTAAGTAAATCTCAACAAATCTCTAATCCATGCAAAAATAACAAATGAAATTGCCAAATAATCAACCTCTTGCCCTACTTTTCCTTGAAACTAATTTACTTGCAGATTATACAAGCACCTCTTGCCAAAGAGAGATTTTACAAGCACCAGACTGGACATCTGAACAAAGATTTTGAGAAAGTAACCATTTATAGATTTCACAGAGTTTATCAATGGACTGAAAATTTAATGATAAAATTAAGCAGTCAAATAAAATAAAAATTACATTTGAATATGATGTAATGGAATAACCTGTCACCACCATGAGTGGCTACACTATAGGTAGTAAGTACCTATAAGTATCTGTAAGTCAACAGACTACAGAGACTAGCTGGGATCTGTTCCAGCTAGACAGTCAAACTCTCTGCCTTCGGGCAGAGAGGAACCCGGACGAGGCTTCACCAAAGGGCAGAATCTTATTTGGGGAGGTAGACTGACCCTGAACTCGTTTATATGCATTCAAATAGGGAATATTTTTGTCCGAGCCTACAGGCTTGGAGATCCTCGTTGGGTGGGGGGATCTAAATATACTAGCTAGGATCTGTTGAGTACGACTCAGACTTATGCGAAAACTACCAAACTTCTAATAGTAGCACTCACTACTGGATTGACTTGCAATAACCTTGTGCATATGTGTTATCTTTATTCTTATTGTATTGGTTTTTTTACAATAAACTTTTAATTACTTTATCTACCTTGCTTTTCAAGTATATATTCCTATTAGCATGGCATATAAGAGAAAATATCAATTAATTAACATATATGAGGTATGCCTGAAAACTAACAGGACTGGGAGTGTTGTGTGAGCTCCAAGTGAAAAAGGGATAAACAGATTGCGTTATCATCTAAGATGATATCTTGGAAGTATAATCTTAGCTTTCTGAAACCATTGCATTTTTCTTTTCACATGTTTTTTGTTTACATCTCTTCTTTTTCAGGTCCTGCAGCTTGGAGCATTGAGGAGTGAACGATGAACACCGATCAATAAATAAACCTCAATTTTGGAGTCCAGTTGAATGTATATATGTATCTATATATACGAGGTCTGTATGAAAACTAACGGGTGTGCTGTGTGAGCTCTGGGCGAAAAAAGGGATAAACGGATTGTATTATCATCTAACAGGATATACTGGGAGTATATAACTGTAATCTTTGCTTTCTGCAAACATTGCATTTTTTCTTTCCACATGTTTTTGTTTACACCTCCTCTTTTCCAGGTCCTTTTTTTAGTTATGACCACTGAGGAACAAACAATGAACACCAAGCAATGAATAAACCTGAATTTTTTGGTCCAGTTGGGGAAAACTCTGTTACAATCACTTGAAATGCTTCAGCAAGTGTATGGAGATAACACCATGTCATGTGTATGTGGTTTTAAGTGGCACAAGAGGTTCAAAAAGGTTTCACGAGAAGATAGAAGATGAATTTACATTTACTGGTATTATTTTATCTTATAATTCTCCGTTAGATATACTTGAAATATTTTAACAAGATGCGCCACAATAAATGATAATTGCACTGGGTGAAATACCAAATAAATTTTAATTCTAATACCTTTATAGTATACAGATATATTTGACTATCATAGACCTATTAGTATTGCTCAGAAGCTGGGGTCACATTATACACGAGATATGAAAAAATTAGGTTTTACATAAAAAATATTCAGGGGTTGCACTATACATGAAGCAGGCTTATATACAACTGATAGACTGATTTGTTTTTTTATGGGTTATCAACTCTTTACAGGTTATTTAAAGCCAGAAAATATTTTTAGATTGTAAAAAGTTTCTGCAGATGATGATGGTTCACTGATACAAGTCCTACTAATTATAATTAACTCATAATTGGGGGGAGAATAGATGGATTCATACTTTTCTCAAGAGTATTTGTGCATAAGTGAGTATATAACGAACCTGACTGAAATTGGAACTCCACTCTCATTTATGCACAAACACGCCTAGGGAAGGTAAGAAATCATCTCTTCTCCCCCAGCTATGGGTTGAATAGCAGGACAGACTTGGTCCTATAACCTTGTTTGGCAACCAGTCTACCGCAGGATGAAAAGGCAATATACAGGCAGGAAAATCTTCTGCCTAGTCAGGCATGATTCAAAAGAGACATGGCCACCCAACTGTGTATCACGTATGGCACTTAACTGACTGAACTTATCTAATTTAAATTTGGAGAGACCGATATTCACAAGTGCAACTGGAGAAAATTGACAAAAAAAAAAAAAATTACGGAAAAAATTTTTCTTTTTTAAAATTATTTTTTTTAATTTTAATTTTTTTTTTTGTTTCTGTTTTGTAATGCCATTTTTAAAGTTTTATTCTCTGAATGCTACTTTGGATCCCCTGGTGAGGCTTACGGCAATACAGAACCATGTTAGACTTTGTTAGATTGATCATTCTACTTACATTTCAAATAGGCTTCGATGAGGAGGAAGACACTGTCTCTGTGCTGTCTCACTTGTGGCAGAACTTTCTGAGCACTGGCTGTCAACAAATATAACATTACAAACTTTAATTTTAATGCAAGCATATTCATTAAGAAGAATTAGATTCACTAACAATATTAATATTCATTAATATTCAGTTATTTTACCACCTGAAAATTGAAAATCTGCATTTTGACAAAAGAAAAAAAGCATAAAATTCAACTCAAATTTCATTAATGGATTTTGAGATTATAAAAATCCAACAAATTTTAGCTTCCACAACATGAATGAAACTTAGTATCTGTCTATATTTCTGAGATGAGGTATTATGTACACTATTTACATTATTCGGCCCATTCTCCTCGTTTTTGTTGCCATATTTATTACAACGGCTAACGTAATAGCACATATACTAGGCCACAAAATCTCCTGAGCTGACCAAGCATAGAAATAAATACAATATGGGAACCAGTAATAAGGAGTGCCAGAGAAAAGCGATAATAACAACAAAAATTGCAATATGAGCTCTGGTAAAAACATGAGATGATAACAGCAAAAATTGCAATATGAGCACTGGTAAAAAATGATTGCTGAAGACATTAGGTTTATAATACCCAGAAATTCATACCCAGATGTCCTCATGGCACAGTGGATAAAGGCGTTGGTTAGATCCAGTGACAGGAACCTAAGAGTGTGATTTCAGTACCCGGTTCAGGCAGTGGAGAACTTGGAGAGGGGAATTAACAGGAGATAACTAATGACATCCATTAAACATGGCATGTGGAACTAGAACAGTCTACCCCAGTGAGTGAAATAAAAGATTCAGTTCGACATTCCAACCACCTGAAGAAGGCCAGAGCATACAATGGCCGAAAAGTTGTAATAAATATGGTGACAAAGGTGAGGACAATAAAGATACATAATACGACACTCTAACAGTATTTCATTCACTATGCAATCATCAGGTGTAAAAGGACTGGCCATTATTTGGTTATTTATTTATATTCATTTTTTTATTTTATATATATATATATATATATATATATATATATATATATATATATATATATATTAGTGAATATACGTAATATCCAACATCGATATCATGACTCTGAGTTTCATGTAAATCTGCAATCTTCAGGTGTTGGATAATGTTTCCAGCACCTGAAGATTGCAGATTTGCATGAAATTCTGACTCTAGATATCAACATTGGATATTATATATATATATTTACTAATATATACTTAATAGCTTAGTTTTATAACATGGGGCACTGCATTTATAACACCTGAGATAGAAACATATATATATAATTATTTATTTAAAAATATGATTCCAAATCGCTACATAAGAGGTCTCATGTTTCAAAACAAGAGCCAAAAACTTCAATATAATCCTTTTTAAATTGAGTTTAAATTAAAATGGGCTCCATTCCATCTTCAAGCGAAATTTTTGTTGGAATAACGTATATCTGAAATTTACGTGTTTTAAAAATTGAAATCAAAATCTCCATGGTAACAGCAAGGGCGAATTGTTTAAATTGGGTAGGCGAGTGTAGGGTGTTAATAATAAGTAGCGGTATAGAGATACTTTCAAGGTGTCAAGTCGGGGAAAGGTGGGGGTGTCAAAAATGAAACGGAAGATGTATTAACCTTCGTCTAGTTTGTTTGTCTATGGAGATTTATTTATTTATTTTATTTTATTTTATTATGAAAGGGAATTGTGCATATAAAAAAAGAAAAACTTTCGTAACGTTTGTTTTTTGATGACTTCATAAAGGGTTATCTTATATGTAAGGTATTTAAACTACTAATTTAGGCTATGGATTATGAAGTGTGTTATGTTGTATGCATGTTTGTAGTTAATTATTCCTACTATGAATCTGATGATTGGGCTATTTGTTAAACACGTTATATCATTTTTTTTTTTTTATCTAATAATTCAAACCAAAAATCTGATGATGCCTACAAAAAACCGTTAACTCGTGTCTATTATTTAATAGATTATTATTATTTAGAAGTTTAATAATGTGTAATTTTTCATGGAGGCACAAAGGGCATGGGTCATCCCAAGCTTTACATGTTCTAGCCTTGTCAATAATTTTCCATTTAACTTTTGATGTCCTATTTGTTTCCTTCAGGTGCCAAAAATATTTTGATAGTGAAGTCTGATTTCGTTTGTTTATATTATTAAAGGAGCACTTATGCTGCCTCCATCTATCTTTAAAATTATTCTTCGTGGACCCAATGTATATCATATTAGTGCTAGGTCTCTCTGTGGATGAAATAGTACATTGGTATACCACAGAATTAATACAACATTTATTTTCTAATGGGCAGTCTTCTAGGTTTCTACAGTTACATAATTTTTCCCTTTTATCGTCTGATTTAAGTGCAGAGTTTTTTATTAATACTGTTTTGGCATGGGGGTTTGTTCAAGATCTTATTATTGTGTTTTTTTTTATTATGCGTTCAAGATTATCAGAGCAGCTGTAGCTCAATTTTAGGGTGTTCTTATTGAATATATTACTAAGCTTACTATTGGTGGGGAAGTGTTTATCAATTAGAGCTAAAATTTCTGTCCTAGTTTAATACTAACCCTTTGGTTGAACGGAGGGGTGTACCAAATGATATTTCTTTTCCTGTTTTTTGTTTCTATGGCCAGTGTAATTTTCTCTATAGTTAATGTTAGCATTTTTATAACCACTATTTTTAGGGCAGTGTTATAGAAGCCATTGTGTTGTTGGAATATTTCCTTGTTTGCAGAGTTAATGCTAATTCTATTTTCTATTGATGAGGGTATATGTTTAATTATTGATGGAGGATGGTTTGACTTCGGGTGTATGTATAAAGGGTTAGCATTTGGTTTTCTATAAGGTTGGTAAGTCTAGAGTTACGTCGAGGAAGTTAACCCTTTTCAAATTAGAAGAGACAGTTATCTTTAAGTTTAGTTTCTTAAATTCACTAAATATAATTTTTCTGATTTTTTCAATCTTAAAACTAGTAGAACTCCTCACCACCATGAGCCCGTCATCTCTATACAGCCCGATGTCCTTAATATCAATTTTGCGGTGTGCCATTAAGTTGTACAGTATAAGGAGACCAACGAGGTCAGAAGACTCTGCAAAGTCTAACGATCCCATAGTGATGTCAAACAGGTCGTTATTGTTTTTTATCCATTGGTCCCCATTATGAACGAGGACCGATTTCTTTGCGCTGAGGATTATATCCATTTCTTCCTTTGTTAGGTTAGAATACATAGCAGCGAAGTCCAGGGCAGTCATAAATTTTTTTTCAAGATCAGCGTTCTGTTTCAATATGAGGCAGGCATAATATCTATCTCACGCACGGTGAATACTAGAGCCGGCTTCTTTAATATTTCCCCTTTTCTAGCAAGATTAATGCTCGACAAAAGTACATATAAGCTTTAGATTAAAATAAAATTCTTTTCACTTTTCATTCAAAATACTCTGTTTTAGGAATACATTTTCACAACATCGGCCATGTGACGCCAACGTGATCATATTGAAACAGAACGCTGATCTTGAAAAAAAATTTCAGTTATCTGTTTTGATTAGTCTTACTCTTATGTCCATCGTCTTTTCACGTTGAATTAAATATAGTCTAATGTTAATTATGTTTTATGAATATGTCCTGAAGATGGTCTACTAGACTGAAACGTCTGACGTTGACATTATATTAACATTAAAACAGCATAATTGCATATTAGGATTTTTGTTTGTTTTTTCCATTCTTTTCTTCATATATATATATGTATGTGCAAGTATATGTACATTTTTGAACATGCCTATATATATATATATATATATTGTTCTGATTATATTGGTATCTTTTCATTCATCCTTCATTTTATTAACCAAGCTATCTATTCTCTCTCTCTCTCTATATATATATATATATATATATTATATAAACTATTGGAACTTTTCTAAACTTTTCATATAAAGGGAAGCAACTCATAATCCCTTAAATATTCACACATTCTCTAGTCATTTTTTCTTTTAAACAAGATTATATAAAAAGCATGGGAAAGCACAGTGCAGTAGGGAGGCATGGAGTAATAGCTAGCAGCTTGGATTGAGAAATTGGAGAGCTGAGTTCAAATTCCAGTCAGATCTATTACATTTACTTATATAGTAATACCCTTGGGAAAGGTATGAATCCTCTTGTTCTCCTCCCAGCTATAGGTAAATAGCAGGATAGACTGGGTTCTATAGCCTTGGATGGCAATCAGTCTAGAAGAAGGAAAAACTCTGAATTCAAACTCAGTCTGGAGAGGGTTGCGCTCAATCAGGCTACCTTGCCCAAGAAACACCACTTTAAAAAAGGAAAATATAAAAAGCAACATATCGTCATTAAAAAGGTTCTATCTGTAATTTTCAGTTTTATCTGAGATATGTCCTGTTATATGGTCTCTCTCTCTCTCTCTCAACATCACCATGATAGATCTGTCTTAGTGACATGGTCTCTCTGCATCGCCATATATGGTCACACTTCAGTTTTGTACAAAAATCTTCATTCAATTCCAAGTGTATGTAAAGATATGTTTCTGTCAATTTATGAAAAGTCATATCTAGCCAAACTTTGAAGTCAAATATCTCAAAACTACAAAAAGTGTAGATAGAACTATATATTTTTAATTTCAGGTGACAATATTCTGTCCTTCTATTTGTTGAGTAAGATACAAGAATATTGTTTTAAAGAGACTGTCTCCATAATAATCAGTAAGGTTAATGATTTTATAAATCTAAACCAATTGAACTCGAGTATTTTCAGTCATGTATCACAAGTTGTATGACATCTGAAATCTGATAAGAAATCTGATAAGAAATCTGATAAGAAATCTGAAATCTGATAAGAAGCTTCAATGCACTTGACGCACTTGTGATTTCTTTTCAACTTTGCTTTAATACTTGTAATAGCAATTCAAACACATTTTTCACTGACCACTTTTATAGAATCTGTTTTCATCCAATAGGAATGTTTATTTCCTTTGGCTTATCAAAGAATCTTTCATTCAATAAATAGTATAAGATGCTGTATCAACCACAGCTTGCGATTCAGCAGCTAACGTAATCAGCATATTTTATTGGATTCCAATGTTAAAGGATAATATTTTCATTATTTCCAAGGAAATAGGATTGATCCTGAGCACTGGGAACTGCAATAATCAAGTTTGCATATGTTGTATCACAGGACACACCTAATTGCAAGTCAGATAGAGTCTCCAAGTTTAGATAAAACAATGTCACATGTTCCATTTTTTAGAATTTTTACAACTTTGTTAACATCAAGAATTACTTTGACTTTGGGATTTTGTATAGACAGGCTGTGTTCATCTTGTCTGGTTTTCTGCATGTCGATAGCGCTTCTCCTCGACTGAGAAAAAGTTGGTGTTATATAGATTTCTCAGCCCGAGACCAACACTGACTATTGGCTGATACCTGCCTAGTATCATTCATATACAAATTTTCTCAGAGCCACCAACTCTAAGTAGAATGTCTTCCCTCAAAAGTCAATTGTGGAAGAGGACATAATTCCTGGTGCTTACTGCACCACACACAACAAACTCTGGGTCTATTGTCAGATTGACCCAATTCTCCATTACACAAGTTTAATTCCTGTTTCACAACCAATGCCTGAACAGGTTTAATAATCTATTTAATTTGACCATCAGGCCATCAGAAATAGTGATTTCATTTTCGTTCAAATTATAATGTTCCCTTGATGTATCATATTGTTTTGGAATATATTTTATGTCATCAACAGTAATGCTGTTATTCTGAGGTAAAATTAGCAGGCCTAGGCTCCATTGTTCTCATATAGTCATTCAATACAAAGATCAATAAAAAAAAACAAAAAAAAAAACTTTGTAATGTATGTTTCATATTTGTCTATATTTCTGAGATGTGGTATTGTAATTATTTACACTATTTACATTGTTCAGACTGTTGTCCTCATCTTTGTTGCCATATTTATGACATTTCGGTCATTTTACACTCCAGCCTTCTTTAGGATCTGTCTATATATGAGATGAGGTATCATAATTATTTGCACTATTTACATTGTTCAGACAGTTTTCCTCATCTTTGTTGCTATATTCACAACATTTTGGCCATTGCACACTTTGGCCTTCTTCAGTATCTGTCTATATTTCTGAGATTAGATATCGTAATTATTTACATTGTTAGTACTGTTGTCCTCATCATTATTGCCACATTCACCATGTATGCATGTTTCATCATTTTCTGGTAAAGCAAGAGAACAATTGCTGGATATTATTACTTTTTCTTTTCTTGTTTGCCAATCTTTTATTTTATTAACCAATCAACTGTTCATTTTGATCGTATAAATGCTATCCAGGATTTTTTAAATATCTACTCAATGCCAGTGTGATAACAAGAGACAGTACTGAGAATAGCCAAAAGAGATTTAATTCTAATAATGAAATCCAAAACATTTTTTTAAATAAGCAATTTTTCTCTATAGGTAAAGATTAATTAATAGACAACAACAAAGAAATTTTTTAAAGTTCAATTAAATTCCATTCTGCAACTATGAGAAAAGTAACTCTGTAATAGAATTCCTTATACTTCATTATCTGTACTTCTATCAAAAACTGTTGCTAGTCTTCCAAAATCTATCTTACAAGTTGAGCATGGTTAGAATATTGCTGCCACATATGGTCCAGATGTCTTAGAGTGGATGGTTCAAAACAGTGTACTAAAAACATCAAGAACACTAGAGCGGAATTCAACTGACAAAAAAAAATTTAATTAATGTGCTTAGTATATATAGGATCTAGAGATCCTTGCTAAAATCCCAAAAAGAATCAGCAATATTATTGGTACTGATCTGGCATCTAGGCTTCAGTCACTTTCCCATTGCTGTAAAGTTGCCTCCCTTTGCCTTTTCTATAAATACTTTCATGTTCAGTAGAGTTTTTCACTATATAAGAATTTAAGTGCAGTACTAGACTGACAACAAGGTCTCACCAATTTACAGTTGAATTGGCTGAGATGTGACCCTAAGTTTTATGCTAACAGTTTATTTCTCGCACTTCTTGCTTATGGAAATCCCTTCTGGCTCCATGCTTTCCAGTCAACTTTAATCATCATAATTTAAATGCAATGTCAATCGCTATCTACTGTCCTCCTGATTACTCTTCTATAATTTTCTTGCTACTTAGTAACGTTTCTGTTTTTTAATTTTTCCACACTCAGTAACCCCTTGTATCTTAGTGGCTTTACTGCCCTCCTTGGGGGGAACTCGATTAAGAAAAAAAAAAAAAATACACTTTTGGAACTCTCCTAAATTTTACAAAGGAAAACAACTCATGGAATCTTATACAGTCACATACAATTTAAGAGCAGGAGATGACTATATACCAGCTAGATCAGTTCATTCCAACAATGAGAATTACACAGTATTTTATAATACTGTTCACCACCATACAACTGAAGAAGGTCGTAGAGTGGATAGTTCCAAACAGTGTACTAAAAACATCAAGAACACTAGAGTGGAGTTCAACTGCCCAAAATTAGCATATATATATATATATATATAGTTTTACTATTGTTCACTCAAGACAAGGCCTAAGTGCCACTCAAGAGAGAGGGTTACTGAATGGGGATGTTTTAAGGGCATACAGGGAGGAAGCAAAGGTTGCATATTATGAAATTGATGTTTGACAGATAACTGTTGACCCTTGACTTGGCGAGGTTAAGATTGTAATGATCATAGAAGCATCTCCTTGGTAATTTGTTCCACATTGCAAGAATTCTGGAGAAGAAGCTGTCCATGTGGAACTTTCTCAATGGAATATGAAAGGAATGATGATGAATCAAATTGGTGTATGTGAACTGGTGGGTCCCAGTTGTGAAGGTCTGAACTGGTGGAAACAAGTATGAAAATAGCAAATTGAGAATAGCAGATTGAGACAAACCTTCTTGTTTCAAATGTTTAATGGTTTCTTGACAAGCTTTAATGATTTTTTCCGAGTCCTGGTCAATCTGATCTCTTTCAGCGTCTTCCATTTTGGACCCATTGAGTAGATGGCTACAAAAAAGAAAAGGAAGTATATTACATACAATAATAACTGGGAAATGGATTGAGTTTTCACCAATGACCATCAACTGCAACTCATTCCAAGGCATCTCAACATGAAAATGACTTATCCTAATTATTCTTTTTATTCATAACAAACCCTGCAAAGTGACTAAGATTCCAGTTTGCAATTTAACTCATCAGCCAAAACAATTTTTATTCAAAAGGCCAATCACATTTTGATTTTGCTTCAATGCCTCTGTGCACTGAAAGCTCTTTTTGGCTGAGTAGTCTAAAGCATGTCAGATCAAGGAATTAGAATATGAAAAAACTTGCAACATGTGTCAATCACTCTCTTATATATATATATATATATATATTATGAAATGGACAATGTCCAACAATTATTTTAAGACATATAGTTTTAAGGTATGGTATATTTATGGGTAAAAGTGCTCAATCTCAGGGAGAGAGTGTGTGCAAATATAAAATTGGACACTGAGGTTAACACTGAGCAACAAGTCTGTTTCATGAACAGAACGCAATCTTCAGCCTCTGAAGACTGCATTCTAGCTTGAAACAGACTGTCGCCATTCAGCATTGCCTCTGTGTCCACTTTCTATAAATATATAGGGTGTATCAAAAATACTTTTACAAATTTTGGAGGTGGGTTCCTCACACCAAAATAAAGGTAAGAGTGCATATGAGCGCATGTCTGCAAATCCTTTGTTTTTGAGTTATTACATTTAAAGAAAGTTTATGGTAGATAGTGCTGCACTGCTATGTAGACTAGGTTACATTTGTTGTTCATGTACATTTTCATCTGTCTTCAACGTTCAACATGTGTAGTAGTGAGTTAACAGAGATGTGTTCTGTTTAACAATGGCATATCGTGAGAAGGCAGATATGATTTTTACATGCAGCTGTGTGAATGGCAATATACGCGAGGCTGCACAGCTGTAACAGATTGTGTTTAAAAAGAAAAAAGAAATTTCAAATCCAAGAGACACAAATCTGTAGAGATTCTATTCCAATATTTTAGCTTAAAAATTTTTTTTTCTCACCTGCCAGCAGAGACATATTCCTTCCGATGTAGAAGCAGAAATTCTTTAAGTTTACTAATGTTTTGCATCTGAAAGAAAAGCAGATGTTTGAATTGTTGCTGCACACAATCAGGATTTATTCTGCAGAAAGAAATTCTTTAATCATTTCATATAAAGAATAATTAACTTGATTTTGAACTCAGCAATGAGGTTATTAATCCCTTGGACAAGTCTTTCAGCACTTTCGTTTAATGCAATTGACAGCAGAAATGTATTTTCTTTATCTATTGCGATTGACAGCAGAAATATATTTCTCTTATCTAATGCAATTGGCACCAGAAATGTATTTCATCTTACAATAAATCTTTTAATCTATAAAATGCCACAGAGAAAACTGTGTATCAAATTTACCATTCACAAATTTATTTTTAAATTCCTTAACAGATTTTTACCAATTAATCTTGTCAGAATTTTCCTACTATTCTGCCAAGAATTCTAATCCAAATTCTTCTGTGCAAAACTACAAAGATGGACATAAATTCTTATGTGCCTACTCTCTTTTGAGCCATAAATGAAAATATTCTTCCACATAATGAGTTTCTTTTTTTGTTTTTATACAATCAACAGGTTTTGATTGGTTTATTTTTTGTGACTTATCAACCTTTTGTGGGTTATTTAAAGCCAATATATATTTTGGATTGTAAAAAGAATTCATTTTATTATGAATACATGTTGTTTTAAGAATTTGTTTTGGTGATAACAATGATTTTTCCAGATACAAGTCCTACTATTTAACTTATTGTTGAGGGGAGAAAAGATGGCTTCATTGTCTACCCAAGGGTATTTGAACCTAAGTAGATGTAACAAACTTAACTGGAATTTAAAAGTGGACCTCCAATTTCTCATTGAGATGTCACTGTCTATTCTATGAACACACAAGCCTGGAAGCCTGTCAAAGAATATTCATCAAGCTTTACAATTTTATAACTGGACACATCTGCAGTGTTTATTGAACTTAGAACAACACTTCACAGATGATGACACTTCAACATGTCATCTTACAAGAGAGAAGGCCACTTATTTTGTGCAAACATCCACAATGTCTTATTTTGTTGAATGACTTGGGATATTTTAAAGTCAACCAAATCTTTCAGAATGACTCATAAGAAAAAAATCTAGTGGAAAAAAAAAAGGGGGATTCAATATTGAAATTTTCTGATAAATATAGATTAATGTTACATTCACACATGTGGAAGTCATTATAGTTCAAGTGAATTAAAAATACTAGGTTAATTAAAAAAATAAAAATAAAATTATTCACATTATTTACATTATTCGGACTATTGCCCTCATCTTTGTAGACATATTTATCACAACGTTTTGGCCATTGTACGCTCCAGCCTTCTTCAGGTGGTTGGAATGTCAAACTGAACCCTTTATTTCGCTCACTGGGGTAGACTGTTCTAGTTCCATGTGCCATGTTTGATGGATGTCAGTTATTAGTTATCTCCTGTTAATTTCCCTCTGAAAGTTCTGCACTGCCTTAACCAAGTATTGAATGCACACTCTTTAGGTCCTGTCACTGGATCTAACCAACGCCTTTATCCACTGTGCCATGTGTCCTCAAGGTTAAGGCAGTGGAGAACTTTCAGAGGGAAATTAACAGGCGATAACTGATAACTGACATCCATCAAACATGGCATGTGAAACTAGAACAGTCTACCCCGGTGAGCGAAATAAAGGGTTCAGTTCGACATTCCAACCACCTGAAGAAGGCTGGAGCGTACAATGGCCAAAACGTTGTGATAAATATGTCTACAAAGATGAGGACAATAGTCCGAATAATGTAAATAGTGTACATAATACCTCATCTCAGAAATATAGACAGATACTGAAGGGTGATAAATATGGCGACAAAGATGAGGACAATAGTCCGAATAATGTAAATAATGTACATAATTATAATACCTCATCTCAGAAATATAGACAGACTCTAAAATTATTCAACCATAAAAAAATTGCTGCAATTAACAAGTAATATACAAAAATAAAGAAATGATTTTTGCTGAGACAATAATGAATGTAAGAGAATAACTGTTTGTGAACATAATGTCTGTATATGCTGTAGTTAATTAATGTTAACAACATTCTTTTGAGATTGCTTCTTTAAAAGAAAGTAAGAAAAGAAATAAGGTATAAAATAAATAAGTATATTTCATTAAAACGAGGGTAATTTTTATTTCTTTCATTTTAGTAAATATTTCTATTTTGAGGAATTTCAAAACGGATTTAACCAAGGCTTCTGGATTCGAAAGATTTGCTTAAGTCCTAATTTTTATCGAACCAAAGAAAATAAACATTAATTTATTGATTCATTCATTTTTTACGCTTTATCAACCCTTTGCAGACTATTTAAAAAAGGCAGAAATGTTTTTGAGATTGTAATTCTTTTTTGTGGGAGATAATAATAGTTTTAGTGACACAAGTATTGAACCCGTTGCTGTGGGAAGAAGAGGTGAATTCATACCTTTCCCAAGGGTGTTTGCACATAAGTGAATATAACAAATTCAACTGGCCTGGGATTCGAACTCGGCTCTCCAAGTTCTCATTTTTATTGCTATTTTTGTAATAATCAGGCTTTTTTACACCAGGAATAATGCCTTTTTTTTTTTTAATTGGTCACTGGGGCATTATCTGCAAAAAATTTATCAAAAAATCTAAGGGAGGGAAAATGTTTCCAAAAGTCAAAAACAAAGACATTTTTCCTGGTTCTGTCAGTTTTATTGAAAATATAATTTCATGTGTTGTCTCTGGTTTCTTTTTTTTTTTTTTTTCTAAATTAAATATCATTTTTTTTTTTTACTTTTTTATTTACGGAGGAAAATAAATTTAAATCAGTTTTTGCATTCGGAAGATATTTTTCGATTTATGATGAATGCATAACGTTTCAAGTTCAAATAAGTGATCAGAATATGAGACAGCTTCAAAAGATTTAATGGAAACTAAAAAGCAAATAAAATAAGTTATTGCTGAATATGCAGAAATCGTTTGAAGCGCTAAATTTAACAATATTCAAATGTAGATTTTTAGTTAAATTCCCAGGATCTCTTCACTCTTTTTTTTTATTTTTGTCTCAGTAAAAATGGATCGTAGAAGTTTCGTCCTGAAACAAACGAAATTCTCTAAAGAACAAAAAAAGTTATTGTCATGTCGAAGGTAATTAGATTTTTAAATTAATTAATAAAATTATAATTGATATATTTTTTAAACATGAAGAAAAAAAAGACATAAAAACGTTTATTTATAAACGAATTTTTTTGGGGGGAGATAAGAACACTGAAATAACTTTGTCTTTGCCTAACTCATCATGTCTTGTATTAAATTGTTTAGCAAAAAAACTGTTCTTTTGTAGCCACACTTTCAGGAACCTTAAAGAAACAATTCTGTAGAAAGAAAAATTAGCATTCTCAGCCAATGTATTTTCTTTTAACTTGAATTATTACCCCCCGCCCAAATAGGGGCAAGTATAGAAGGAATTGTTTAATATTTATTATTCATTATTTTAATTATCTTTAATAAACAATGAAAATAAAGTAAAATATGAGAGAAAAAAAAGTTCCAGATTTGTTTACGTAAAATAAAAATTCCAATCACTGACCACATTCTTAGCTTTCGTATCGAAATCTTCCTTTTGGCTGGATTGTTTGACCAAAGGATGCTTAAGATCCACATTATTATTATTAGAAGCTATGTCCTTTTTTCGACGTGATTTTAAGGCCTTTACAGTTGCCTTAAAAACATTTGTCACGTCCATGTTTCAAAAAGTCTGACTCGGTCGGGAGACGATCCGACGAGCAAATAAAAATTCTGAACTGGTTATGACAAAATGGAACGATCTTCGTCTTCCATTTTTGTAGTTTGATTCAATGATTACTAACAAACTGTCCTCTTTCTTTTTTTTTTCCAGGAAAATGTAGATTTATCTGCTTTTATGATTTATATCATAAAAATATATTTAACTTTTCTTAAGGTGTTTCGATCAAGTATCCAATAAAAAACAAAATTTTCTATAATTATAATTAAATTAACAATGAATGTTCTCTATAGCAGATTGTTAACTTATTTATTGTAATTTTATGTTAGATAACTACACCGTTATTAATAAAAAAATTGAAAAATTCAATTTATTATTCATGAAATCAAAGATTATTTAAAGTTATGTATTTTCCTTTTTTTTGTTGTTGTTCGATATCCAGACAACCATTTTTATTTTTATAATCTCCCCTAACCGGAAGTTTATGTCGGTGATTTCCACTGTTTCATCGACGTGTGCAGGCTGCCAGCTTGTCGCCAAAGGGAGACAACTCTAAGTAAAATTGCCATCAGAGTTATTCCTCTTATAGTTACTTGAAAAGATGAAACAAGAAATATATATTTTTCTTTTCAATGCATATTTTATTAACACAAAATTAACATAAAAATGTAGCACTAATTATTAAACTTAATTTTGCCTAACACAGTGTAGTGGTGTTAAGATGTGGGAATCACTTACATGTGCCACACCTCCGTTTTCTTTATTGTCATTGGGTAATAAATACATGATACTTATTATAGGACAATTTAACAATCGCAGGTAATTCAAAATTTTCTCTAAAATCACGGATTGGTCCATTTCCTGACCAATCGCGTATTTTAGTATCTTTTCTATATTTTGGCGCCAAGCCATCCGGAAAATAAGGCACGGCGCTATACTGACATTTTAATTCTTAATTATCACTCAATCGAGTAATCATACTAATTCATATTGATATCACTCATGAACATTACATTTTTCTACACTGATAAAACACTGTGGAACTATTCTTTATTTAGCTAAGACTTCAATTGAACTTTGTAGTTAAATTACATTCAATTTTGTACTCAACATTTATTAGCTAAACTTACCCTTTTTATTAACAGAAAAAGGGGAACAACTTTCTTTTTACTATTGTTGATATTTGTATATCATTGTTAATAATACAATATTTTATTAATGTTCACTGAGCTTGATTATTTTTCTCTCGTGTTTGTTGTGCATTATTCATGTGGGGTGTTGTTTTACAAGAACACAGCCTTCCTTCTTTATTATATTCACGGTGACCCTAGCCAACAATACTTACAGCACCACTACAAAGAAGACTGTCTTATATCACACAAATGACTAATTTCATTAAATGTTGTTCATATCAGATAATGAATTTAGGAAAATTCTGTAACGGAAGATTCGATAATTGTGAGAAGGTAGGGAAATTCGTTAACTATGAAATAAAAGTCAAATAAAAAATTGATTTTAGGGCCGATCTGAAATGGAGATTTGAGGGCTAATCCCTCCTCCTCTATATTTTTAAATAACTGAAAATCGTAAAATCCAGATAAAACCCGACGACAACAATACCAGAATGCGGCTTAGTAGGCTAGGCCTCCTTCGCCAATGTTTTTTTTTTTAAAGTATTATTAACTATGGGTGTCTAGATAGAACCCCACTACAAAAATACCAGTACCGTTGTGGACTCGTCCAATATCCTTACCTTTCCAACCCTAACAAAAAAACACAGTCCACATCGTACGCCTACGTGCCTAAAAAAACTTCAACCAATCAGAATGGCAAGAAACGAAGCAAACAACCCCATTGGTCAATCACTTGAAGTTCAAGTGCAAAACAGAAATTGCGCCAAAATCAAATGAGCCACTTTTGGAATTACAGATGATATAAAAATAAACGTAGACAGCCCCAGACAGTCAGTCACACGAATTCGCAGAGTACTTTCTAATATACTCCACGCCACTACGAACCACAATTTTGCCGCGCACGAAGACACATCGCTGACTCATATTCGAATAATCATCAATCAACTCTGTGAACATATTTCTCAACTTTGCTTATGTACAGTGAATTAAATTCTCTACTTAAATAAGTAAACATCAACGAACGTACACTATTACAAAAACATCAACAACGTTTAAAGGTAGATCACTCTAAAAAACTCTTTTCAAAAGCCACTTATAATTCACAATTAACATTATCGACAAAAAGACTGCGAATCAACGAACAATATCAAAAAAGAGACATTCAGAAATCTAACAATTACATACACATTTCGTCCACACGACACACACTGATTATCCAACCTGTATATTGTTAAATTGTATTGTTGCATTGATTTCTAAATTGCATATGTCTCGTTTTTTTTTAATTGCATTTTGAATTTCGTATTTATTTGTTTGGGATGCAGCAAGACACGCAACCAGCTTAAAATTCCTTCTGATTCTTTCTTAAATAACTAACAACTCTGCACGTCCCCAACACCGTACTTGCAGAAGTGGGGATTAGTGGCCTAGGCTTTCTTCTCTAATCTTTTTTTTTTTTTTTTTTAAAGCCTCCAAATCCCCACTCCAGAATGGCTCTAAAATCAATTTTCAATCAACTTTTATTTCATGGTTACCGACTATTCTTACCCTGTCAAGATTATCGAATTTTCTGGGCACCCAGATAACATATGTCGTTCCATTCAAATCACCGAATTTTATGAAAATTTATCAGGGCACCTTCTCAGATTCTCTTGAAAAAGAAAAAATTCCATGTGGTCCTATATCAAACTGACGGAAAAATCAGAAATAAGTCTACATCTCTAATAGTTTTCAAAATTAAAAATTTTTGAAATTTTAATTTTATGCATTTTGTCAAATGAACGTTCCATCTAAATTCTAACATCTCTCCATATTTCTTATGACAAAATTTGATTTGAAACTTTTTGAATGTTTTTTTTTAAATTTCACCAAATTGCATATTTTTATCCCTTCATTTGACTATACAAGAAGTTTTTTTTTTCAAATTTCTTATTTTACCATGAAATCTTAAATATCTGAAAAATAAGATTGTTATGTTTTGCATATCTCTCTGTGTAGAAGTAATCGTAGTACAGTTCTCCGTGTCTTTCACATGTTCGCTAGTTCTCTATTTATACTTGTCTCTCTAATTTGTATACGATACTACAAAGATGATGTTAAAGTTTTATGTTGTGTTTGAGCTTCTGTCGGAAGTTAAAATATTAAAAGAAAAAAAATGAGCTCTCATGCTTCACAGATGAGATTTTTTTTCAAATTTAGCATTCTGTTATTTAAGAAGATATTGTGGGTTATCCTGGCGGGGTGGAGTTTCCTTAAGCCTATAAAAAAGTGAGCATTTCTCTCCCTAGTCTCTGTTTTCACTTTTTTTACACACAAGCTTTCAGATGTAGTTGTATGCACAGTTTGAATGTGGCCGATAGGCTCCTGTAACATTTTTCAATCTCTCATATTTTTTTTTACTGTTGATCTCTTTTTTTACTGTTGATGTGTATGTGCCTATTGTTGTGTGGCGGACTTCACCACATTAATTTAACTTTAGGTTAGGAAACAGAGCTGACGCAGAAAAGGATAAGCAGAAGACATTGTTACACATAAAATATGAATTTAACAAGATGTACAATATCAAACATATCATGCATTTAAGTAAGAAAAGGCTGAAATAAACAAGAGTTGTTTCTCTTCAACTGTTATTTTAGTATTTCAAAGTTCACTGGAAGAATGTTCATGAGAGTTTCTTGTAATAAGAGTTCTTGAAAGATTGTTGCGTAAGAAAAGATTATGTGAGTATATACAAGGTATGCTCAGCGTGTGAGTGGTGTGTGTGTGAGAAAGTTGGCGCTTGGTTTCAACTGTCGTAGATTCGTTTGGCAGTCTGAATTCTCACTAATTAGCTAAGAAAAATTCTTGCTTAAATAAGTGACTATAGGCTCCAGATCGCTGCGCAGGAAGAATTATTCATCACGAGCAGACGATCTGATTGGTTGGCATAGGCCAATCAGCGAGCGAGCTTTGGGGAGACTTAAGAAAGCTTCTGTGATCTGTTTCCCTCCAAAAGTGCACAAAACTGACTACATAAAAATAGAGCGATTACAAAATTGTCGCAAAGCTGCGATTTGTAAATTGTCTATAATAACGTAGTGGTGATTAATTAACCAGTGGATGCTTGGCGTTGTATGTGATTTGTATTTTTGTATGTATGTATGTATGTATGTATGTATGTATGTACGTGCGTAATAGTACAGTTGTATTATTAAGTTGTCCCCCTTTATCTAGCTGTCCCCTTTCCTGTTTTCATTATTGCGCTTTTTATATAGGGAACAGGATCAGAAGGATCGACCAGGATACTGTACCCGGGTCGTGAATGAAGATCTCATTCACTTATCCATGCCATTCTAGTTGGTTATAAGTATTTTTTTTTATCCAACGTCGGAACCTAACGCATAATGTAACATGATGTCAGAGGAAAGTGAATCCCTTATACAACGTAGACTTGAAACTTTTGAAGAACATAGCAGGATCAAGCGAAAAAAGAAATCGCAAATGGCGGAGCTTACAGGAATACCTCCACCGACTACGAATTGGGAAAGCAATAATCTACCAGAAACCTGGTAAAAATTCCAGACAACTTAAAAAACTCATGTTCCGATGTCCTCTAAGAGACAATGAGAAAAAAAAAATCTAGTGACATACCTCTTTCTTTGTGTAGGCGAAAAGGGAAGATAAATTTACGATAGGTTGTCTGATATGACACCCCACGAAAGAGATATACGCTCATCTTTCACTTCGAACGCTTCAGTGAATATACACAGCCTAAACAGAACCCCAGATTCGTAAGATACTGTAGCGGACCGTGGTCATGAGGATATAAAGAACACACGTGGGTTAAAATTTCCTACTAGCCGCCCCAGCTACATGAGAATGTTGGAC